TTCATCGTCATAGTACTTCATCATCATAGTGCTTTCATCATCATAGTACTTTCATCATCAAAGTACTTTCATCATCATAGTACTTTCTCATAGAACTTTCATCGTCATAGTACTTTCATCATCATAGTACTTTTATCATCATAGTACTTTCATCATCATAGTACTTTCTCATAGAACTTTCATCATCATATTACTTCATCATCATAGTACTTTCTCATAGAACTTTCATCATCATATTACTTCATCATACTTTCATCACCATAGTACTTTCATCATCATGGTACTTTCTCATGGAACTTTCATCGTCATAGTACTTTCATCATCATAGTACTTTCATCATCATGGTACTTTCTCATAGAACTTTCATCGTCATAATACTTTCATCATCATAGTACTTTCATCATCAAAGTACTTTCATCATCATAGTACTTTCTCATAGAACTTTCATCGTCATAGTACGTTCATCATCATAGTACTTCATCACCATAGTACTTTCATCATCATGGTACTTTCTCATAGAACTTTCATCCTCATAGTACATTCATCATACTTTTGTCATCATAGTACTTTCATCATCATAGTACTTTCATCACACTTTGATCATCATAGTACTTTCATCATACTTTTGTCATCATAGTACTTTCATCATCAGGAGGAACAGGAGGAACTGGCAGATCTACTGCTGAAGAGAAAGAGGAAACATTGATAATTATTGTGATTAATTGATACGTAATTATTATGTAAAAAACCGGATCACACGTCCCATGATTGTCATCATCAGTCATTATCGCTGATTGAGGGTTAAGTAAAGAGGATGTTGGACATTGTTAAGATCTATGACACAAACTGTGATTTGTGAATATGAGACAAATAAAATGTGATTGATTGATTGATTATCAGGAGCAACGTGTTCACTGTCCACCCCCATGGTTTCTCCCAGTGCCTTGTGCTGATTTGAAGCCTTGAGTTTTGTCATGTTTTCCACCACTGTGAACATTTGTATGATTTATTTCCATCCCACTGAAACACTTTATTTTGTATTTCATGATGTTACTTTGATTAAAAACAAAACACACACATAAAAGTCTGTGCAACACGTCACAGTCAACTGACAAATATCAACATGTTTGATTTGAGGGCACTCTCCATTGCCAGGTGTGTGTTTTGGCTATTTGGTTTATCTCTGGAAATGAAACACAAAACCCTGAACTCAATATCTTCATTTGTGCATTTTACTGTAGATTTCTGGCTCGGCCACCAGAAGGAGATATGTTGGCACATTTTGATGGTTTTGAATTGTCAAAGAAGTGCTCAAAACAACAATGACCACAGTATCTCACCTTACGTGATTAAGGTAAATGTTATTTACAGTATTAACATGACTTGCCTGATTAATTATCACCTTTATTCATGAACAATGTTTGCGCTCCAGAGGTCAAATGGGTTTTTAGTGAAACAGAACAAGATTTGGTGAAAATAACTATTGTTCAGAATGATGATCTCATATTAACAATTAACTAATAATAGATGATGGTGATGTGTGTGAATGGGTGACTGACAATAAACTGTAATATAAAGAGCTTTAAGGGGTTTTGATCAAGACTAGAAAAGCTCTATATAAACAAAGACATGTGTTTATAGTGTAATCGTCGGACTCACCAGATTGCTCATTGCCAATGTTGTCAAGCTGCCAGATGTCGAGTCTCAGGTAAAAGAACCTGAAAAGAGAAAAGGTCAATATGTGAAAGGAACGTTCAGTTAATAAACATTGATTTGAGCTGCTGCTGAAGCTGAATAATAATAATGATCAACACGGTCAGACCAACAAAAGCCTGTGATGATATTCACTCTCTAACCTGGTCACCTTCCCTCACTGTCTCCTGAGATTTGTCTCCAGCAGATGTTTCCAGCTGCCTCATTACTGTAAAACCCCTGCTGCTCTCTACAGCTCCGCCTACTGTGTCACTGCAGTTACTGCGGCTGTGCTCAGGCAGAATGAATTGTATGTTTAATGTATAATGTATTATGTCTTCACTAAGATAGAAGTACAACTGATCTGTGTGTGTAGGAGAGAGAGAAAGAGAGAGAGAAAGAGAGAGAGAGAGAGAGAGAGAGCTTTTGCTCTGTCATGTTTCCAGATCCGTCCTGTTCCTGCAGATGCATCATAGAACTTGCAGATACATAAGTAGAATATAAATATTCATTAAAACTAAACATTTCAAAAACACAAACATAATGATTTTATCCTAAACTTCCAGAGTCTGAATAAAGTTGTGGATTAATCATTTAAAAAATCATTTAACAAATGAATTCCTATTACATCACTAGTCATCATAAACTACTGATATTTGAGTAAATGAGTCTTTAACCAACAGGGTTGTAGTAGGAGTCAAATGCTGGAACTGGTCGAACTGGTTGAGTTTGAATGTCAAGGCTTGTGGACACAGGAGCAGGTTTGGAGACATGTGCCCAGTTACTTCAGTTGTGTTGGATTCTGCTCTAACACTGTTTACAGTGTAGTGGTGAGGAAATGATGACGTTTTGGGGGAACTCTCCCTTTAATCAGCCTCACCTGGTTCAGGTGTGTTGTCTCTCAGCAGCTGATTTGACTGAAAGAGTTTCCTGGTTTTACTCAGTGATTCAAACCCAGAGCAACAGAGAGGAGCACAACCTCAGAGGTCAGAGGTCAGAGCGTCTGAACCTGGACCAGAACCTGAACCTGCTGCAGACTGGGCTCATCAATCAGCACCAATTCAAAAAATCAAAAAATGGTAAGAACAGTTTTTTCTGTCTGAGCATCAAACTCCGTCCAAAATCTGTTTAATCTTTTCTTTACGTTCTTAGTAGAATGTTTTATTAATCAAGTGTTTTTCAAGTCAAATCCAGCATCAATGGTTATTCTCACTGATAGAATTCAACATAGAGGAAAGTTTATTTATTGTACAGGTGTTCACATAGATACTAGCAGCTTGTATCGGAACATGGTGGAACAGGAAGGGAAAGAGTGAGAATAACTTGAGTTTGTTATAAAGTTTGAGCCGAATCAAGAGACTGTTCTTCCAGAGTTACTTAAACCAGGTTTAATCTGTTTAGTCGATCTCCTGTCATAGATCTGATCTTCTTCTTTTCTTCTCTGTGTCATGATGGACTTTGTTAAATCAGCCGCTGCTGTGAAGCCCTGAAACTGTTACCTGAAAGGATTTGTCCGTGCACTTTGAAAAGTGACGTCTTTGTGAGTCAGCCTCCAGTTATCTGAATTTAAACATCACATTCATCAGAGCAGCGCTGATATCAGCTTGTTTTAAAAACCCACTGAATGTCCTCTGAGGCTGATCGGCCACTTTACAACATATGAATGTTTTCAGATGAGATACATAAACCAGGTTCTTCATGTTTAACGTAGGTGAAATATTAATTCTCTGAAGGAAGAAGCCAAAAGATTAGAACATTTGTTTTAATTTATCCAAATATATCAAACAATGAACATCAATATGAAAACATTAAAATGTCATAACATCATTGCAGCTGCTTTGTGTTTGACTATTGAAAACACACACACACACACACACACACACACACTCACAGACTCACACACTCTGATGATTCCTTCTCAGCGTCGCTACCAGGACGAGCGGCCATGTTGATTTGCATTCGATTTCCATTTTGTAAATAAAACCTCCAATGCAAATTTGTCACAGCTCCAGTTGTGTAGTTTCACTGTTACACACACACACACACACACACACACACACTTATAACTGAAGGTGTTCAGTTGCTGGCTACAGACCAGAGCTGTCACATACTGTTTAGTTTCATTAAGTCTGGAGTTTGAATCCTGTTGCTCTGCAGTTTATTGATGATGAATTTCTCCTGTACAGTTTTCATGAGGCATCTTCATCCCATCATCATCATCGTCACTGATGCTTCCTGTTTCCTTCAGCGTCACGTCTCCTTCATCTAAACTCCCTCCCCACTTATTAACTGACATGAATCCATTCGCAGATTCAAACCCGAACTCTCGTCTTCATGATGTCACTTTTTCACATTCAGACCCCACCCCTTGCAATGATTCCCATAATCCATCTCTCTCCAGTTCACTCTACCCTCCGGTCATTCCAACGAATCACAGCTCTCCTCCCTGTGATGCCTCATCAGACCAAGTCGGAGGTCACGACATGGTTCGATTTCCATCCTCAGTCGCAGGCCTCAGATCTGAGCTAGATGTGACAGCGGAGATGCCCCCCCCCTTCTCTGTTCCTTCAGCAAACCCTTACCCCGCCCATACCGCCGCCCTCGCCTCCAGCCAGGTCTCCATCATCATCCCGTCCCAGGACCCCCACTCGCCTCCTCCCCCGCCTCAGTGCCCTGAGGACTCCTGCCCAGACCTGGAGTGTGCCATCTGCTTCAGCGAGTTCAACAACGTCTTCCGCTGTCCCAAGATGCTTCACTGCAAGCACACCTTCTGCTTGGAGTGTCTGGCACGCATGAATGTAAAGTCGTCTGAGCCCAACGCCATTCAGTGCCCGCTGTGCCGCGGCCTCACGCCCCTGCCCAACCTTGGCCTGCCCAGACTGCCCACGGACTCAGATGTCCTGTCGTACCTGCCGGCCGCCATGCAGAGGGTCTACAGCATCCGCTTCCTCCGAAACAAAGGGAAACTGAAGGTCAAAAGGTCAGACTCTCAACAGTTGAAAAAGAGTTTCAGTTTTTACGTCTGGCACAAATTAAAAATGTAAATCTTTTAATCGTTCTCTTTCTCTTTAAGATCGTCAGAAAGTCACCAGCGGTGGGGTCAGAGGTCGTCACAGTTATCGAACCGCTCCCTGGATGTGGGCCTTCCCAGCCCGTCTGTCGGGGCCCACAGCGAGGCGGGTGGTGTGGGAGGAGCTCTGTTCAGGCTGACGAGCCGGCCGGCGTGCCGAGCCTTCCTCCTGACGTCTGTGGGGATGATGTTGGCGCTGCTGACCGGCATCATCATCTTTCTCCTCGTCATCTGACTGGGGGTTAGTCTGACTGACTGTGAGTGACATCACTTCCTGTTTTCCTTCAGCAGTTTTTGTGGATGTGAGGGAAGTGTCACATCTGAATCCAGTTCCTGAGCAATGAGCGAGGAGATGACCACCTGATCAGCTGAGCGACCTTTAACCTTTTACTAGAGCTAAAAGTTTCATAAAATCACTGAAACTCATCTTCAACACGAAATAAACATGTTGCAGCTGAGGAGGAAACTCACTTTTGCCAAAAGCTGTAAACGAAGGACTCGGCTGACAGCTGGAGCCAGAAGCTGCCTCAGCTCAGTTTCTCAGATGTAGATGTTCTCTGCTGCTTCAACAACAACAACAACAAGCCTCTATCACACAAACAAAACTAAACCTCCGATCACGAGCTGATGATGAGGTCATGTGTCAAAGTCTAAAGTCAGGGACTGAAACATGAGGCCTGTCAGCAGGTGGCGCCCTCGTCCTCTGACTCCTGGTTTGACTTTTCTTGGCAGTTTCAAACATTTACTCTTAAAACCGACTCTGAAGAAAATAAAAGACGAGTTTCCGCACTTGACAACGACAACCTTCAGGTTATTTTATGAATCCAGGTTTTCAGACGTCTCTGAGTTTTCTGTTTCCAAACAAAGGAAGTGATTGAAGTTTAAAAAGTTACTTTCAGGAACGTGACCCCATTACTGTGGGTGTTTATCGTTCATTATAATGAATCCTTGTGAAAACTCTGGGCCGAGACTTTTATATTTAACAGATGTTAAAGATCATAAACCTCTGTTTTGTTGTTGCTGCTAGATTCTTAAAGACCTGCTGGAATAAAATGAATGAAATCCTAACTATGGACTTGAGGACTTTGACTGTGGACGGTTCGTCGGCTGCTCCAGTTAGAAACATCATCCCGCCTGAAACAAATAGTTTTACATTAAAAACATCGTGAGTCATGAATTTCATCTCGTCCACAGCTGAAAACAACTGAACCATCAACAAGCAACTTTTCCTGAAGCACTTTTTACTCTCAGGCTTTGTTGCTTAAAAACATATTTTAAAAGATTATCTTCAAAACGAAATTTCAAATGTGATGGTTTAAGAGAAAAACATATTTATTTCAAACCTGTCGTCGTTCTTATGTTCTTCAGTGCGTTTTAAGCTTTGACCTTTAAACGACCTGTTTTACTGTGTGATGTAAAATAAATGATTTTATATTTATACTGTTTTAGCAAAACCTGCAGTGTCACCATGTTTGCTGTGTTACACTTAAATAAACTATTTTTTGAGTTAAACAAATTGTTTTCTTATATTTTTATTATCAAGATTAATCATGTTTGAACCCTATTTTGTTCTTTAAATTTTGGACCAAAGAGTTTATACACGTCAAGTTAATGCTGAGTTTTTTAAATGAAGAAAAACATTTTTTAGATTTTCAAGCTTAAACTCAAAACAGAGTTCTGAGTTCAGGCGTCCTCAGTTCATTGTCTTTTTAAAGTGTGTAGATTTTTAACAGCCTAACTAATCAGTGCTCACAGATTATTAAACATACTGTATATATGTATCTGCTCAGGAGAGTATTGCATGTTACTATTTATTACTCACTGACGCCTCTTGTTGACTCTTGCTATTGAAATCTGGGACTAATGAAGGACAATCTTATCTGTGTCACTAGAGGAAGAGTATCAGGACAAGTCACATGACACCTGATCCCAGAACAGTTTGAAGACAAAGATCAACTCTTAACGATAGTCTCATTCAATTCATTATACTCGTATTGTGCCAATGACAGTCCAGCAGGTGGCGCTGCAACACCAAGAAAGAAAGTGAATAGAAAATGTCTCCACAGAGAGAGAGAAACATCTCTGTCTGTCTGTATCTGTCTTTATCTGTCTGTCTCTGTCCATCTATATCTGCCTTTATCTGTCTGTCTCTGTCCATCTATATCTGCCTGTATCTGTCTCTCTCTCTCTGTCTGTCTGTATCTGTCTCTCTCTGTCTGTCTGTATCTGTAAACTTTTAAACTCTGGTCTTTTATGAACCTGTCCTCTCCTCTCTCTCGTTTATAATCTGTGGTCAAATCTAAATCCTGCGTGACCTCTGACCTCCGCCTCACAGTTAACTCCTCTAACGTTCTGATAAAATCTGTCATGTGATCATCTCTTCACCAGGCGTGTTCCTGAGCCTCCTGATCAGCTGATCCCGGCCATCGTCGTGGTTACAATGTTTTGTCTATTTAACGTGTCTCCGGAAGAAACGGTTTGGATCAGAACTGACTGATCGGAGATTCCTCTGTGACACAGCGTGGGCGTGTGTGAAAACGTGTGTTAATTGGTTTGTGTATGGACACACCTTGACAACACTGTTAAACATGCCTGTTTCCATGAAGACACAATTCTGCCTTCAACAGGAACCGCCGATAAAAGATCTGGAACACAACAAGAAAACCTCCTGTCTCCTCTCTGATTCTCTGAGCGTCCTCATCAGTCCACCAGGAGAACCCGGATCCTCCACATACATGATCCTTTTGACTTTTTCTGTTTCTGAAGTGACCGAACTTCCATCAGTCGACAGACAATCGAGAATCATGAACCAAGCTTCACGTTTGTTCATGTTTCACTTGATCTGTTTTAGTTTCACATTGTAATTCAGGGACTAAAGAATTCTGTCTCACATACATACCTCCTGTCCTCATCACCTACGTGGGCGGGGTCTACCTATACTTGACTCTGATTGGTTTGTAGACGGCGTCTGAAATTCACAGGATTGCTTGTGCTTCCTCTTCTTCTTCTTCTATGGTTTAATGTGTCTCTACTTCCTGTGATTGGTCCAAAAGTCCAAACTGTCCAACAAAGTGTTTCCAGTGTGAACCAWCAGAACCAGGTTCAGTTTGATCCAGACCCAGAACTCCTCTTCTGGTCTGAGGAACCGTTCACACCTGAAGTTCAGACTGAAGCTCTGAAACAAACCAGTCCTGAGATGTGTCGTCCATCTTTATGGACATTCACTGATCATCTGCACTGAAAAAAAAGATTGTTCTCTGATTCTTTTCTCATTTCTTGTTTAAATTTCTAGATGTTTTCCTGAGTGTGCGAGAGAAGCTGATCCGCTCATGTCGCGGTATCATCAGTTTGGCTCCAGCGGCGCCTCCTGCTGAGCGACCTGGGACATGAAGCACCAGGTTTCATCCAGAACTGATCACATGATGTCAGACTGGTCCTCACAACGGCAGGAAGAACTCACAAACTGTCTGTGACACACTTTCTGAATGAGCTGCTGTCAGGTTGTGTAATGAGACAGAAGGACCAGCCAACCAAACCAGGTGTGTGTGTCTGTGTGTGTGTGTGTGTGTNTGTGTGTGTGTGTGTGTTGCACACTCTGAAGTACAGTTAGTTGTGATCTACACACACTGGTCGTATTGATCATAATTCAGAAACATTGAATGAAGTTGAAAACATCTGGATGAAACTGACGCAGATTCACTAAAGATAAATAAAGGCTGATCTGAGGTCAGTTCAGGTGCGTGACAGAGTGTGGGACGTGTGAATACTTCCTCTCTGTGACTTCAGGTCCAGTCTGAAGAGGAGGGATATTTTCTTTCTTTAAAAAACTCTTCTCACATTAACTTATTTACCTTCACTGATTATTTTCTTTATATATAATATGATCATGGAGCATCGTTTATATTTTGACATAATAATTCTGTAATTTAACCGTTAGTCACTGAAACGACCTGAGAACACATGAGGTTGTTCTGTTGTTGGACTGAGGAGGATTTTTCAAGGTCATTGAACTCATTCACAACAAATTCATTCATCTGTGAACACACACACACACACACACACAGACAGACACACACACAGACAGACACACACACACACACACACACAGACAGACACACACACAGACAGACACACACACACACACACAGACAGACAGACACACACACACACAGACACACACACAGACAGACACAGACACACACAGGTTTTGTTTGTGTGATAGAGGCTTGTTGTTGAAGCAGCAGAGAACATCGACATTGTCTCGTCACTTTCCCAGGATTCCACTCTGCGTGGTCACAGAGGACAACACGCCGTATTTTCACAACATAATGAACAACAATCGATTCTTGTTGAGAATCTGAAGTTAACTCAAACAGCTGATCCTCCTGATTGATCCTGATTGATCCTCCAGATGTTCAGCTTCGTCTTCATCAGCCGCTCTGCCTCCTGGAGAACAAACCATGTCCAGTTAACAAGCTGACAGATGTTTTCTGCATCTGGATATTGACTGATGGTGTAGAAATGGTGTAGAAATGGCGGCTGTGACTTTTATTCAAATTAAAACAGGTTCAGCAGTGTTTCTAAACCGTTAGTGGCTCTGGAGCCGTGTGGACACCAGGCGGTCTGTAGCAGATCTGAGTTGTAGTATGGATGGACGGTCCTGAACACATGAGACAGAGAGGGGGGGGTGTAGCTCAGTGGTAGAGCATTTGACTGCAGATCAAGAGGTCTCTGGTTCAATTCCAGACGCCCCCTGCATGAGAATCATGTCACATTTCTGAAATTGACCTTTTACCGTGCAGAGACCTGCTGGGGAACTGTGTCAAGATCCTTCCTCCAGCTCCCTCACGGCTCCATGTTCTCAGAATCAGAAGACTCCTCATGGTCAGGAGCTGAAAGACAAAGCAACCGACAGATTTTCCTTTGTCTTGGTCATCTGGGAGAAACTAGCTGCTTCTCCAAAAGACTCATTGGATCAGGATCTTTCTGTTTGGACCAGAACCTGCTGCAAGGATGAAATATTCCATCTGGCCTGAGAATGACTCAGCATGAACTTTTCTAACATGAAAACAAGAACTTACTGAATGAAGGAGTTGTAGAATTTAAAAGAAACTAACACTGAGGAGTTCTAGAGTACGACTGTGTCCAACTCTGAATGAGTTGAACCTGAGTTCACTGAGCTCAGCATACACCTGTGAGGTACCTTCAGGTACAGTACTTCATATTCTTCTTTTCTTCTCACACTGTTAAAACCTGTGTGGCGTCCTGCACGCTACCTCCACCTCCCACAAATATTCAGCCCGAGGCCCCTGTACTGTACCTCGGCTGTCTCTGTGTTGCTGTCTGTTTTTCTTGGCTGTATTTATGTCCTCTGCATAAACCCAGCAGAGTTTAGCCCGGGAGAACGATGCTTTTAAAATACCAAATAATGTTCTCTTTGCACGAAAAGTGAGAGGATTAGAAAAGACGGAAAGACAAAGAAGTTTAAAGTGAAGGTGCGGAGGTCGAGGAGGCAGACGAGCGGAGATCACTGCTTCATCTTCCAAAAATACATTTTCATTGAATTAAATCCAAAACCTTCATCCTGAGAAGATCAAACCACATTTCATTCTCATTTTTCACAAGTTCCCGCTTTTTAAATGAGTTTTTCATCTGAACCATGATGTTGTTCACACGTTAAACAAACTTAAGAAAACATGCAAACAGACCAAAGACGTTCTGAAAACTGCATGAGCTGCACTTTTGTGTTACAGCATGTTTGTGTATTTGACTGCGTTGTGTGTAATTGCAGCGAGTTGTCATTTTGTGTGTTGAGCTCTCGTTGTGCTGGACAATGAGGAATCAAAAACGCACTCCAACAGCAGTTTGAGTGAAAGCAACACTTTAAATCCAAAAAGAAACATTTAAGAGTTTCTCCTAAATTTAACCAAAAGTCGTAGACGTCTGCTGAAGAGGTTTTGTTTTCATTTGTGTTGGTCTGTTCGCAGGATTACACAAAAACGACTGGACGGATTTTCATAAAACCTGGTTGGATGTTTTCTGTGTCAGAGAAGGAGTCTTTACATTTTGGTGCAGATCAGGACGTGGATGCAGGATTTTTTTTTTTTTACTGTCTGTGACATTGTGAGATGAGGTGTATCCAGACACGTGTAGAAAACGAATATTTACGAGTGTGTGAGATTTGGAACAGATCAAAATAAAAGTCAGGATCTAGTGATTTATGATTGATCGGTTTGTTGAGGAGTGAGTCATTTTCAGATTCAACTGAAGTTTTATGTTCTATAGTGAAATATACTAACGTCACGCTTCTATGTCCGTTTTTCTGCTGTGAAACATCCTCATGTTTACGACAGAAGAAGATTTTTACTGTAACTCAAACTAAACTAAACTAAACGAAACCTTTGACAACTGAAGCAGGTTCTCTGTCATGTTTCACAATAACATAATAAAACAATGAAGTTTTGTTAGTTTTCAGTAAAAAATGATACCAGCATAGAAAACCGGCTTCTCAATACA